CCAGATGAAGAAATTCAACAAGGATTATAACATATTCCATAAAATGAAAATTAATTCATAAAATTGGCGGAACAAATTTTCTCTCTTAACACAAATTACAAATTTCTTAATCATAAAAACGGTTCTCCGTTTAACACAACTTATCTAAAAAAAAAGTTTAATTTATCGGGGTTAACACCAACCGACTTGTTGTAGATTCTAAACCGGTGGACTTTAAATCATTCGGAATCTTGCATGCGCGAAGAAAATGAATTCGCTGCAGTCACGCAAATTGTCGTTACACACCGAGATCAGGCGAATGAGTTACTATTTCTTTCACAGAATAAATCAAGCCGTGCAAAAATTAGCCCCCATTAGAATGCGCATGATGATAGAAATATATTTCTTTTTATATACGACCGGCTATTATTACATTTCTATTATACTTGCATTTCGCATTTCTGTATCGTAATTTTGCTTTGCGATTTTCTTGATTATTCAGATATCTATTTCTTGAAAATGTTACTCAAATCAAGATACGCAAGCGTGTAAAAATAACGTTTCTTAATATAATTTACAATTCTTAATTAACTTTGTTCTTTTTTCCATCTTTCTCTCTAATCGTTTCCAAAACATTTCCAATTATAAAATTCGAGGGGACGTAATTTGTCGATAGTAATTACGGAACAACGCTATCGATTACAAGGAAGTGGGAACAGTGATTTGAGACTTCATCGAAACACACAAAGAAAAAGTGTTGGCAATAATCTTTTTATTTATTAAGAAAAGTCTCCCTGTTATATTAGCGTCGTTGAGTAAGTACCGTGTCAGTTTCGCGCGAGGATAAACATATTACACTCGGCGTAATTTGTTCTCGCATAATTCCCGCACGCGTGTAGCAAAATAAATCGGATCTTCTCCTTTTTTTTTTTTTATCCAGTACGAAATTGTCGTTGCGGCGAATCGCCTTCTGGACGAGTCGTTTATCCAAGGCGCTTCACAAGTATGCCGTAAATATCGTACAATTAAATACATCGAGGATAAATATAGGTCGTTCCATAATCGTAAGGTTTTTCAAATAGGCTTACATTCGAATTACAGCGGGGGAGAAGTGTGTGACTAATGCTTGCAATTATATTAGAATGGCAAGAAAAGCCGCATTTGTCGAAACCGCCTTACATGCTAATATTTATAATTACATAATTCATCACAGCAATAAACAAAATATACGTGTGCGCATGTGGATGTACAAAATTCGTGGGTCATCGTCTCTCTTCCTTTCTTTCGTGTCTTTCTCTCTCGTTCTCGAAAGCGCGAGCTTCTCTCGCGATCTCTCGATTATTCACTTTCACGCCTTAAATTAGAGCTTATTTTAGAAGTATTAAAGTTACATCGTATAATATCTGTTTCCGGAATTCAATACAGTCGCATATCGACTATATACGGGGGTAAAGGGTTCGTACGTTCACGCTGTGTAGGGATGTGATAATTTAATGTCGTTAATATACGCACGCACGCAGTGTGTATCAGTCTGTCTGAATTTTGTTTTCGAAGGAAATTGTATGCGGAATCGTTTTCCGGTATGTGTGTGTAAAAGTAACCGTTCATACTTTTGTGATTCGTATATAAGGCATTAGAAATTGTATATTTAAGGCATATCGGTTGTCGTTTCTGCTTCGCATTTTCAAACGCGTAAAGTAACAAGGCCTGCACTGTGGATGCATTCGGGGAGCTGGCTGTGAATGCAAAAGCTACGAGATCTGTTCGAAGAGCCAACCATTCGGAAATGCCTGGCGATTCTAAGCTCCATGAACGACATTAGCGCAGTTACGGCCTAATTTAAATAAATATCATATATTTATAAATAAATATAACTAAATAAATATTTATATATAATATATTATAAATATTATATTTATATATTTATTTAATATATTTATTCATATTATATCATATTCATATAAATACATAATAATATATATAATAAATATTAATAAGATATTAATATTAATATCAATATTATCTAATGAATTATTTTAATGAATCTGGATTTTTAGAACCGACAGTGTTCAGCAACGTCAATGGCGTTCACAGAATTTACAAGCGCTAACATTACATCACTTCGGATAAAATAATATTTGCGGCGCAAAGAATGGCACTATCAGCTAGCTCCGCGAATGTATCCTGTATCATTATTATTAGATATCTCAAAATATATATATATAATATATATATAAAACAATAGAGTTCGTACAAAAAATATAATATAATATTAAATATATATATATATATATATATATATATATATATATATACTGCGAAAATATTAATAATTGTAATAAAAAGTGTTTGCGACGATAACGAACTAGGCGTCTACAATCGAGAATTGCTTCTTACTTTCGGAAATGCTAAGGATATAAATGCAATAATTACAAAACTCATGTAAAATATCTACTCATATGTATACGACTACATTTTCGCTTATCGTGTGAAGTTTCGTGTGTGTGGGGGAGGGGGGAGATTAGGACATCGCGATAAGTCCATCCTATTCTGTATAAAAATAAGAATCTGTCTTCGTTATTTAAATGCTCAAATATTTAATATAATTCGAATCCATACACTTTTGCTTACTTCAACAAATCTCCTGAATTCCGGAACAGTCCATTATTTAGAAAATATACGATATATACATTAAAAATGTGTTTTTAGAGTTCAGTTTCGTTTCTCTTTTGGCTGTCACATTTACGCCTAGATGTGATGGATTACACAGAGTTAATGGATGTAGAAATTCGTACAAAGGGGTGATAATAAAACGTATGTTCGCGCATTCACGAGTTCCTTTACGTACTTTTTTTTTCTTTTATCGCTTTTTCGCTTCCCCTATATTAACACTAGTATGGCTTCATATATGTAAGTATATATCCGTGTGTACACATATATGCATATGATCAATAAAACTTTATATATGTACAATTGCGGTGTGTGTATATGTATATGTGTGTGAGAGTGTCATCATTTGATAAAAATAGAAAACTATTGAGCTTCGCGTGATGGACCGCATTCTCGGCTTCCTTCCCTCATCCATAATATAGTAAAAATTATTATTATTTTTACTTAATATTCGAATAAGAAATCAATTTCAAAGATTCCAGAATGTCGTATAGTCAATGTTATATCAATACATATTTTTAAATTGTTCAACGTTTTAGACGTATTAGCTCTTCGGCTAAAATGTTGACAATAAAAATATATGATTAATTAATTTATTATTAATAGCGTCACACACTGCCATTAAAATAAAAATGCGAAACGCAAAATAAACTGAAATTGTAATAAAAAAATTACAAATTATATTTCTCGAAATCACTCAATTTTGATATAAACATTTACCGCAATATTATATGTGTAAGTAATTGTTAATTGTACATTATTTTAATTTACGAAAATACGGTAGAAAAAAGTACACAAGTGACCCGCTGATATTTGTACAGTATACGTAACATTTCTCGATGCGAGAGATTACAGGCGTATATTAAAATGCCCCAAAAAAAATGTATCGCCTGATATTCGAAAGGAAATATATCATTGTGATATATGAATCCAGCTTCGGCGTGGATCGAAATGTGTCGATATTGGAGCACAATGATAAAAACTGGTGAAGCCATACGTTTGAATTTTGATACATATGCCGAATTGTTTATCGTCGATGATAAATAGAGAGGACAACGAGATTCGCGATTGATTTATTCCGACATCCATTAGCTCTGTGCCAGAAATGCAAAAGCACTATGTATATTCACACGTGACGAGGACGTGTTTTAACGCATCCGCAGATGTACCACACTCGGCCGTCTGTATGTTAGGCCTATCGAAAGTCTTCGACGATGCACAGCATCGTTTGATAAGTTTGTGAATACGTCAGAGCAATGATTTTTACCTTTAACTTTCCAAAGACTACACTTTAAGGCTATTAATTTTAGCATCAGAAGCTAATAATCTTCGGAGAAAAATGTGTCAAGAGAAACGTACTTCTTCTTTATTAAAATTGTCTCGGTAGAACTGCAAGTTTGAAGTTTAAATTTTATCTAATTGCGCCTTCGATAAAATACGTATTAATTACATATATGAAATAATTTTGGTCTATTTCTTTTAAACTTGTTTTTTCTTTGAGTTATCCCGATTCACCGAACTTACGAACGATAATGTAACGAGTGTCGTACGTACGCGGACCTTCGATTGCGAGGCCGATCTCGAGAATGTCCTTGAAAATGCACGCACTTTCAATTGACAATATGCAATATCGTGAGCAGTATACTTGTTATACTCTTTTAAAAACAGTCTTTATACAATATTTCAATTATATTATGTACAGTTGTCGTATATACTAGCTAAGAGATAGAACCTATGTTCCTTCTTTACTTTATATTAGATACGAGTTCAATCTGTCAAGTTGTAATTACATAGTATATATCCCAATTTTCACTCGAAAATAACTCAATTGAAATCTCTCGATTACTTATACCCTGATCATATTTACAGTAGCGCGATAATACTTAAGACTATACATGTGAGTCTTCGAGTTTAGATATTCAGAAGTGGTCGTGATTTGAGGCTGTCGCGTAAACTACACTTTCGTGACCTCAAAAGTATTATCAGAGCTAGAATAGAGTATTTCAAATACATATGTACGACATAAATTTGTTTCAAATACGAAATATCATTTCGTATTTTGTATTTTAAACACAAAATGTGTTTTATTTTATATTCTAAAACAATGTTTAGAATACACAGTTCACAATAAATTACGATAAGCGATATTATAAAAAATAATTGTGTACAAAACTCGTGAACATGTACAAGTAATCTCGTTAAGAATAATTGTGATTACTAATTTGCATGATTAGGCTGTTTTTTTTTATCGAAACGGAAATTAATATGTCGATAATAGTTATTAGCTGCACGCTTCCCGTAATGTTTTTACATACTAATAGCTGAACGATTGTTCAATAGCTATTAAATTGTATGTAAGCTATGTACACTTCCAGAAACACGCAATACCTGAGAATTCGTGCTGGAAATTATAGTACCTCAAGTTCTTACGTAACAGCTGCAGATCATCTCCAGAGTAATACGCGTAGCGTATTAATAGCGACGTAAGCTGCTATGCTTAAGACAAACAAAGGATGGGACAACGATGGAGTAAAGGCTGCACTAGAAGCTGCCTTTGTTAAATCTTCGCACACCCCTGTAACATAATATAAGCCTTGAATATTTATATCTTATTTAGAATACTTGCAAAAGTGTTTAAACTTGTAATATATTTTAAAGCTACGACAAAGACAAAGTACTATTCTTTCGCAATATTATAATAGAAATTACTACATTATTCTAGTAAGATAACATATTATCTATTTATTTCTTGTTACAGGTTGTGTCATCCGTTTAGTATTTACGATATTATAAATATTTTTTTTATATTTTTTTCACTCAATCGCATACAATTAAATTTTGTATACAATTAAAAATAATTCATGATCAAATAATCTGTATAAAACTTTGTAATTTTTCGGCTGTCCCCTATATAAATATATAAAAATATCTTTATAATTACCTTGATTTGACAGTCTATACGTATATTCATTCTTGAGTTCTCTCTGACAAGTACGCGATGGCCTAGACAGCAGTAATTCTTGCTCTTGTTGCTTCTGCCTGTTGCCTCTTTCCGAAACTCTGGGCCCTTCAAGACGCATAGAAAAACAAAACGTTTGCCCCGGGCTGACTGGGAATTCGGAATTCCGTTGTGACACTATCGTGTGCCACATTCCTTTCTCTTCCCAACTGCCGTGACAAAAATAGGCTGCCAAAAAAAATCAAGTCCTTAGTTTTCTTGCTTTTATGCATATACACATCTCTTGTAGATTGTAAAAAGCGACTGTGCAAATTTATTCATACTTACCAATTTCTTCGTGTTCGCACGTATTGGCTATTATCATTTCGGTTTGATCTGATGAGGTGCAGCCTATTTGAATATCCGTATTCCTACATTCCACATCCTCGGGGTCATGCCAAGGTGTTCGTCTTTTGATCGACCTTAATAAGTCGCTACGCCGCTGTCGCCTTAACATGGCACCCGACAACACATGCGACTGAGCAAAATCTAGGATTTCGTATCGTCCTGGATTAGGACATTTTCTCTGATGCAAGGACGCGGCTGTAGAAGGAAAATAGATGTGATTTGCATATGCATTTTGCTGTTCGCCCACTAACTATGTAAACCCGTAACAACGTGGAATATGCGGTTTCCTATATCAATATTCATGAGCGGCGACGCAACATGGATTAGCACTTACTTATTAAGGTTGTATACGGCATCGTGGAAGGATCGGAGATGGAGCACGCCTCGTCTGGCATAATCGCTTTTTGATCTGCAATAAAAGAAAAAACAAAAAAATGTTTCGTACATATTGCGCAAGTAATTTTTAATTCAATGCGACATATCTAAAGTAATATTCACCTGATTGCTGGATCTCAATAATATTACTGTCTCTTTTATGGAATATCATGCAAACGTAACCAATGTCGCTGTAATCATAAGTAAGACTAGATTCAATCGACGAAACTGATATGTGTATTCAAAACTGCAAGAAAGTTGAGAAATTACTTACCAGCCGCTGGTTACATGAGCAACTAGTTTCACTTTATTCCCCTGCATGTTGTCGTTTATATACAGCTTTTCTAAGTTATGACAAACGATTTTTTCTTCACGAAATGTTTCACCATTGGCACCCTGCGCCTTTATTTTTAGAGTGGCGTTCTTATTCGTGAAATGATAGTCCTTCGTACCATCGAGAGAATGCCAGTCATGATGCTGAGTTACCCAGGATGGATATTTACATCTACTGTGTTCTTTGTCGGCTGTTAACAAAGGGATACGTAAGACGAAATAAAAACTTTTATAGATCTTGAAAAAGATATTTGCATATCGCTTGCATAATTACCTTTAGTAAGTTTTATAGTTGGTGAACCCTCAGAAACGGTGGTTAAACCATTACAAGTTGGATCACCAGACTGGGCAAGCCAAATCGCCTTTCCCTGATGATGAAGCTTTTCTTCATACAGAAAACACCTATGAAGTTATAAAGTGGTATTTGATGATTTCTCAAAATTCGCTCTTTGAATATATGTACATACATATGTATATACATACGTACATATATGTATATATGTATATATATATGTACATATATATATGCGCTTCATGGAAGTAATAAAAAGAGAATGACAATAATGACTACATGAAAGATGACAAATAAGTGATTAATCATCTTTTCATTTCGCCTCAATACTAGCGATAATTTTCTAACGCTGTAACGCATCATGTTAAAATGTGGCATGCTGAAACCGCGTACATAAACATCTGTCGTACAGGTGTAATGGAACGTAAATAAGGAATTTGATGTGATGCACGCAGTATGACAAAATCGCAACAGCCTAAAGCTGCTACTGTTACGGCCTTGAGAATAATACATTGCATGGAATTAAAATGACATGTTTCACCTGTACATCTTTTCACTCGTAACGCTCCTCGTGTTCAGTGTTCCCATTAGATATTTATTTCGACCATCATTCCAAACGGCAAGGCATTGCAGCTCCTCAACTGCAAAACAATCAAATATATTTTAGAGAACACAAAAATAGTTTTACACATATGTTACAAAATAAAATAAATTTTGTTATAAAAGAGTTTATTTTAAAAATTTAATTGTTACTATTAATTTTTTTAAACTGTCATAAAATAGAATAATAATATTGCTGATGGGTAAAATTGAAAGAAAAACCTATAATACTTCTTCAAAAGCCATAAAAATTTACCGAGCAGACTGAATCAGAACTGTTATAATTTACGTTTACAATGGCATTGTTACTCTCAATTTTATCAAGTTCTAGACAGACGCGATATTAATTGACAAAGTTACTGCTCTTCCACGAAAGCAATTTATCAAAGTACTTTATACATTTGCAATGAAAGTACGATGTAATGTGTTAAGTTGTTCTAAATCGGACAATACTTTTGCAACGATTAACGTACTGTTACTCTCGGTCCCTTCGATGTCCGGACAGGCCTGGTACTTGAGGAGAAGTTTACTCTCATCTGTACACTTCTCTGCGAGACTTGTAGGCGTATTACACTCGCGGTAATTTCGACTGTACGTGAAGGTGAACGACGATCCGCTAAAGGGGCAGGATATCGGTTTGGAGTGCCTTCGGAATATCGAGAAGAGGGTGTCATCCGAGGTCATCTGAGCGCATATGTCTTCCACATTCTTCCGATCCGCGTAACAGAAGGCTGCAGAAAATAATTTTATTTCGTTTTTAACCACCGCTTATTTTTATATATCGTTTAGGATCTTGATAAATTTAGCCTTTTTAAAAAAACCGATCAATAAAGATTCGATTTATAAAAAAAGTACTTTTGCAAAAAAAAAAAACCTGTGATATCGCATTTCATATCTAATTTCAATGTCGGTAAATTTAAAAGGTGAAAGAACGTACCGTCGTTGTCACGATATTGAATAACGTTCTCATGTCGTCCGTTGATAATCATACAGTGATAACAGTTGTCCAAGCTATTACTGTAAGCAAAATTTTCATCGTTAATAGTAATCATGTACATAGTTGATAACAAAAGTGATTAATTTAATATCTTTTTCTGATAATTAGATAAACGAATACTTACAAAACGACATATTTGTCGTCCATTCTTTCGACGCAAACTTTATCTCCGAAAACGGTTGAATTTATATTGAATAATGGTGAGGGTTTGCCATACTGGTACCATTCTCCCGTCCAACTTGATGGAAACTCGCATCCTGAATCATAAAAGAGTTTCTCATTAAGACAATTTTATTGTGATAAATTTTAATTTCTTAGTTCTAACAGATAAGCAATTATCGGTAAAATTATTTAATTATAATACCAAATAAAATATTGCTCAATGTTAATCGTATCTAGTTTTGAATTATTTGATAAATTTCTCTCAAAATTTCGAAAATTTTTTTTCGCTTGAAAAGAAACGAACTTTCTGAACGAAATTATAGAGAAAAATTTAAATATATTTTTCAATATAAATTTAAATATATTTTCAATTCAAGAGAGAAGAATAAGCCTTCTCTCTCTTGAATCAAAATTCTGTAAAATTAAAATCCAAAATATTAATCACACACCTATAACTTAATTTGTAATACATGTCCATTGATATTTAAAAATATTATTAATTATTTTACATTACTTATATTAAACGAGATAAATCATGAGTTACAACGTACTTCAAGTGCAGAATGAATCTAAAGTCAGATCTCACAAACGAGTTTCGTTTCATGCATTACGAGACGCATAATAAATCGTGGAAACATCCTGATTCGTCGGATATAATGATCCTTCTACTTGAGAAACAGAGATTATTTCCTTCTTGATTAAACTCTACGTTCATTCGACCCAGGTGAAGAATCCAAAGGCAAAGGCTCCCTTGATTGGGAGAATTAAGAGGCTTCACGTGGTCGGGGCTTTCATTAAGAGAAGAGACGGACGATTAGAAAATTGCTATCGGGCCCAATATCACGATTACCGCGGTCGAGAGCGTGAGAGTCGGAACGAAGGACTGGGTACTCCATGGATGTTCCACATTGCGTTGCATTGCGTGTGCGTAGCGAAGCGAGGAGCAACGCTCGGAATGCACGAGTAAGGAAAAAAAAGTTAACGACTTGCGCGCAGCATCTCGCTCGCATCATTTCCCCGGCCTTCGTCGCCTGTTTGTCTTAGTCACACTGGCCGTCAAGATGATCTAGTGAAAAGTTGCCAGACAACAGGACGTACGCGTTCTCGCGGGAACGTTTTCAGACATACAAAGCAGAATGCTTAGGCTGATAGAGAGCAAAGCGTCGTGGATGATTGAACGCCTTCGTTCTCGGGATTCTAAATGACAGAAGAGTTTCGTTAAGCACTTTAGGCGCTTTAATCGGTTGGGAGCCATTTCGCCAGATGCGTCCCGCATAAAGTTGGTCTCTATTATTTTCCAAGATATTTTAGTAAAATGAATAACATATTGTATATTATGATAAATATACGCAGAGAGAATTTTCTCCTAGAATTTATGAAAATTATGGTAATCCAGGGATAATATGGTATATTTTTTTAAAAGTTTCTCTGATTAATATTTTTGCCATAAAAAATATTAATATGTACTGCAATGAGATATGAAACAAATTCGATTAATTTTATTATGTACGTATATTAATATTTTTTATTCAGGTAAATTTTAAGAGAAAATTATTCCCGTATATCGGTTCCTAATAATTACACGAAAAATATGTATGAAAATATACAGAAAATTTATATGATAAAAAAGAGAGAAAAGAGATCTTCTCTTATATATAATATGTATTGAAAAATATATAACAATGCAAATATCATTATTATTTTATTAACATTATCACAAAAATATAACAGAAAAAAAGAAGGGAAGTATTATGTATTATATACAATTTTAATAAAATATAATCAATGGGGCGCAAAAACACGTGATATATAAATTAACGATCGAAACGATATTGAATATTTTTATCTCACATAAAGATTACATACAATGAATTATTATTTGATGAGCAATCAAGCAGCGACATTTAGCTCTTCGCGTGTGTAATAAATTTGGACTTGAAAGTTGATGTCAGTCTCCGACTTTCCATGAATTAATGACTTTTTCTATTTTGAGAAATGGAATCATTTCGGTGGCGCTGGTGCCGCTGGGGACTCTTCATAAAATATGGATCTTATAGGCCGTGCTCCCCCGAGGGTAGACGATAAACGCTCCTGGCCGAAGGGTTAAGGTCCAAGTGTTCGGCAGTGCGTATATTTACCGGCGTCGCGCGATGTTTAGTGCGTTCGATCGAACGCGCGCGTATATTTCGGGGTGGTTGCTTTCGTTCGGCGGCGAATGTCAGAAATAGCCGGGTAAGAGAGGCCGGAGGGTGCGCGAAGGGAAATGGGATACACACGCGACAACGTCTACGGGGTGTCCCGTAGAACCGATCCGGTCTTAATATTAATGACGGACACATCGGCGAAAATGTAGTCGCTGTTTTCCGAGGGGAAATTTCGTGGGAAGGACCATTAAAGTAACAGCGGACATTAATCATCCCTAATTAGAGCGCTCAAGTATTCAGAAGTCGTCGGAAAAGCGACGGTTCCTCAAATTTTAATGAACAATAAAATTTCGTCTACTCCGAATTTTTTTCAAATTATCATTCAATTTAATAGCGAATTCAATGGGTTTACAATGACACAAGTAATTAAAAAGCAAAAGAATTAATAGTAAGAGCTATTATTATTGTTGTTCAATATGAATATAATGATAATAATTAAAATAGCCCTTACAATTAATTATTTTACTTTTTTAATTACGTATGTCATATTGCATAATTGTGTGCGATAACCTTTATGTGCATTCAGTGAACACTAGTGCATCCAATCGAATTCGCCTTACAGCTAAAGAGCGAAAGATCAATTCCAACGAGGGTACACCTTATATCTGTCAAACGGTGCGCGCACGTGCGTCGAAGCGGAGCAACGTGGAACGCGAAAAGGAAGAAGGGCGAGGAAGAGCCGTCGACCGTTTTAGACACGCATCTTTCGTCGGAGGAACATCATTTATCTGTGGCCCGGCGAGAGAGGGGAAAATAGGACATTTCGACCCTCTCTGTCTCTTCCTTTCTTTATCGTGTTCTTCGGTGATGGGGAAAAAAGCGGCGACAGATACCGCGGACGCGAGGACAGCCGCTCGACAGACGGCGGTGGTTTTGTGCATCTTCGAACGCGTGGTTAACAGCTCTTTTTAAGAGAGGCCTGACGAGATAGTAAGGCGTGAAGCCGTAGAAAGCGGAGGAGACTACTCGTTAACGAGCTAACGAGTCTCTTGCACGGAGTCTCATCTGGGCGTAAGAGACTCCAAATCGGACGGAGAAAAGCAGCAAGCAGACGATTTAACTCGGGGAAAACGTGACGAATAGACTTCTTAACGGAAGTAGAGTGTTCTCGAGTCTACATTTAAATATGACGTGTGTTAGGTGCATTCGGTTGATGTCTACGTGGTATTTCGGAGAGACCGAAATGACTTTTCCCTTGAACAATGTCGAGATATGAATAGTTCTTGGGCGATAACTCATTAAGAGAAAGGGATTCTTGACGTGTTAGATTCTCCTTCAGAAATGTCGCGTGAAAAGGAATAATAAATAAAATTTATTAAATAAATAATTTTTTGAATGTTAATTTTAAGATTACTTATAAGCTAAACTCTTGATTTAAAGCATGATTATTCTGCTATTTAACATTGCAGCTTCAAAAATCGTTGAAATGACAAAAAATGTCGCTTGGCGAACGATAAATCAAATGAAAAAATTTTGATAAAGGCCAAATTATTTCACTCATCAGTCCTCGACCAAAAATACCATTCTATTTGTCAGATACGCGTTTATTTCTGAATACCATGAATTTTGACGTTACATTTTTGCAAGTAAATTTAATAAAAAAATTCCAGTGAATTAATATCGCTATTATTCGTATCACAAAGACACGCTTTTATTTATTCGTATCAGAGACAATTAATAAAACGTCAAATTTTAGATTAATATAGATTAATTACACAGAGCAATTTAGTAGAATTGAATTCGAAATAATTTTTGTAAATTTTACGAAAAATTCTATCATATAGGGACCTTTAGCACATAATTTGAAAAAAAGCCAAGAGAACAACACGCAACTATAGCCAAATAAACAACGACATGTTCTTCTCAGAGCAGCAACATTAAAAATTCCTACTACAACACCGACTTTATGACTTCATTCGATAATACTGCGCTTGACATCATTGACGAGACAGATCTTAAAAAGACTTAAAGTGACAGCAAACATCATGATACGGTGGCATATGAAAAGAAGACCCAAGTGGCATTCAAGGACGCGCATATACGGAGACGAGAGCAGACGTAATTATTTGCTATTACTTCATTGTTCGCGCATTATCGAAGACGGTGAGAGCGTGCTCGGCGAGAGATCGAGATATATACATATTTACACATGCCATACACACGCACGCATACATATGCACGATACGTTCATAAGTGACTCACCGTTTGCGGAGGGTAGATCCACCAATGGTAGTATCAGCAGCACCAACACCGACACTGGGGTGAGGAGCCCTTTTCGGCGCGGGAACGACGGTTCCTGCATCCTGGAAAATATACGGACATACTTTCATTACGTACGTTGAAATATGCAAAGCGATCTTGCGTGCAAATTTTGGAAATTCTCTTTGCTAAGACGTCTTATTTTTTTCGATCGTATATATATCAGAAAATATATTGAGTTGTTAAATAGATTGATGTATATAAATCAGGCGGGTTGGGTAATAGTTAATTAGTTAAAAGTTAAAAAGTTAATAACTTTTAACTTAGCTTTTAAAATGTATTAATTTTTAACTTCAACTTAGTTATTTTTTACCTTAAACTTATTAACTTTTCCCAAGTTAAATTTTTTTGATCTCTGAATACCATTATTGTTTTCTTTATAAGTTATAAACGTATATTATTTTTAAATTAACGTATTATTAATTTTTATGATTATTTGTCATCAGTTGTAATTACCAAAAAATATATTTCTATATAAAAATCAAAATTTCTTTGTTATTTGTTACTATATATTTTAAAAGATTTAACAAACAAAATTCTAATTTAATATAAATAATATTTTTAAAAATTAATTTTTGATTTAACTTCAGTTAATTTAATCTTAACTTTAACTGAGTTAATTTTTTGTTCATGCAACTTTTAATAACTTAACTAAATTAATTTTATAAGCAACTAATTTTAACTTAACTTATTGTTAGTTTTAAAAAATCATTAATACCCAATCCTGATATAAACTATATTGATATGAAATAATATGTATAATTGAAAGATGAAATATCTAATTATTTTAATATTGATATAAATTTAAATTGAAATTCGATCATTTCGCGTTATCATATTGCATTATTATTATTGATATCGTAAAATTATATGCAGCATGAATTATAATAATCCATTAATTTGAAGATTTATTGTTTCTCCAAAAAAAATAATTTACTATCTCAAAAAGATATGTGATTTAAACACATTGTGAATGCTATCGATAAACTGTGTTGAAATACAATACGTGCGTGAGATTGTGAATTGTAATTCTCTCTTATTGTTAGCTTAATAAATTTGTTTGCATCCAACCAACTAATAATACGCGTTCAAGTTTTTTTTTCAACCAGTTATTTTGCGACCGTAAAATAACAAATTGCGTGAAATCTAGGATAGAAGATATAGGTTACACGATAATTTGTGTATATGATATTATTAAATTAATGTTAAAAAACCGGGAGAGAGAACCACGTACCTCGTTGAGATAATAACCACGAATGATATTGCGCTCGAATATTAAAAGTAGATCGGTACATAAAGTTACACGTAAAGTAGCACGAACCACGTGTCCGACCATAAAGCACGAAAGCACATGAAGTAGGGATAGAAAAAGATAACAGATAATTCAACGGATAAAAAATAAGATAAGTAGAGATTTATTCACTTAGTGCTTTAAATAAATATAAAAGAATTGAAAAATAATATTGCACAAACACAATACATATTGAAGTAATCTCTCTGCTACGAGAGCTACTGTATAATAACAAATTGAGTATAAATCAATATAAAGTGTAATAAAATTTTTAATTCGTATAAAAAAAATTTGAACTAAGCACATAAATATATAAACCCAGACGAAAAGATATTATAAATAATGTCTTTTAAATTAATGGACAGAAACAGACACAAAAATAATTAAATATTAAGTATTATAAGTTTTATTTAAAACAAGATAATTAAGTTGCCAATTATTCAATCCGAATGTTTAATATTAATCGTTATTTATTTCAATCCTATAGGCAGCAGAATTTTTGTGTTCAATTTTAATTTGATTTCATTGAATTCACTCTAATACGATTTATTTGATTTAATTCAATATCTGAAAATGAGGTGAACTTAAATCCATTTTACGAAAATGTTTACAAAGATCCTATATTTGTACATTTATACGCGTGTTTCAATTATGGAATATAATATTACTTATTTGAACACTAAAATGCAAACACGAGAAAAGTTGACGTTGTGATATTACATAAAAAAGTATGATTATAATGGCTCATCATGGGTATTATAAATGAATTATTTGCTTGATAAAATTAGTACCTTGAGAAAAGAACGACTAATCCCTTTTTATGACGTGGAATTAAAGGGACGAATGTCGTGTACACACAACATTTCCTCACCGTGCAATCGTTTCCATTCCACGGAAATCTCCCTTATGTTCGTCGCCAGTAAAACTGACGCTACGTCACGCTATATGCTCATGTGTCTCGAAACTTGATCAATTGCTCTATAAAATCAATATGTTGGAAAAGAGACCAAACACTATAATTCTGTTCTATGACTTGCAGATTAAAGATCTAATGTCCTGATGTTGTACAAAATAGTCCACGAAGAAAATTAATAAATATAAGATCGAACGTCTTTTCATTCACTGTTTTTATAAAAGTAAACTTAATAAAGTTAACTACGTTGTTTTTATTATATCACCGTTTTTTTTGTTACATCAATTTTAAATTTTTATCGATTTTTATACAGTTCTCATATAATCGTGATTCGCAATTATTTCATAAAAAGATCAATTAATCACTTTCACTGTGACATTTTAAGCGACAATTGTATATATGCACTATATTCCAAAGAGTCTAAAGAAATAAGAAGACAAAACCATCTCACAAAAAAACGGAACACGTAGTTGTTCTGCACATTTCCTTTCTCCCTTCTGATCGCACTGTTTTCACAAGGATCGAAGATTTATCTCACATTCGGTCGTGAAAATCGACATACGTCGCGCTGCCTCGGATCATCGAAATGGACCGTCGAAATGTTCGCCGAGGATTTCTCCGTCCACGATCGCGTAAAAAATGGGTAAATGGCAAGCTTTCGCGACGTGAAACGCACTATACCCCGTTTATCACATCGAAATGAGAACAAGTCGCGGCGATCGGCTATAGAACGAGAAGCGCGCATCCTAGAGCGATAGAGTTCGAGACGCGACGACGAACGTCCACGTAAGTATTACCACGTGAATGGAAAGAACGGGGGATGCATTATTTAACGAGGTACACGTGTACCGCGCTGCTTTGCTTACGAGCTTAGCGATGCAACGCCGATGTAAAGCGCTGATGTTCTCGCGCGGATGCGAGAGAGAGAGAGAGCACTCATAGCCCACATCCGATGCGTTTTACGCATCCGTCACGCGGTATCGATCTTGACATTTCGCGCCGGAAGGATCAATCTCGATCGCGTTAACATACTTGATATTAATAACTCCGTTCAACACATGCAGTTCGGACTGACAATTATAACTGGCGAGAGTATCTCGTACAATTTCTTTTACTTTTACACGGAGAGAATTTTCTCTTAGGATTTTTTACCCTGAAAATCATGATAATCGTGGGACAATATGGTATTGAAAGAATTTTATCATTTTTATGAGTTTCTCTGATCAATATTTTTGTCACAATATAAATATTAATAATGTACATAGTGAATTTTACTAATAAAATCTTAATATCTATCATAATAAGATATAAGATGTTCAATTAATTTTACTATGTGTATACATAATAAAATTTACTATGTACATAGTACATAGTAAAATTAATTGAACATTTTATATCTTATTGTGGTAGATATTAATATTTTTATTGTGATTGATGTTAATCAGAAAAGCTCATAAAATTCTTTCAATACCATATTGTCCCACGATTACTTTGATTTTTGGAGTAAATTCTAAGAGAAAATTCTTTCTATGTGCGGTCTTTTATCATTTCCAGACATGTTAAAAAAAGAACAATCAATGATAAAAATGCAAGAGCATTTTCTCTGATAATATAATTTATTTCATGGTAAAATAAATAAATTATTTTTAGATCTTAATTTCGAGAGGTTTAATTTAATTTTTCAATATACAGAAATATATTTCTGATATGACCTGCTTCAAAAAAAGAAAGACGTTAATTTGACGCTTCTGGAAAAAGAGCTTTTTTAAATATTCTAAAATAAATGTTTAGCTTTGAGATAAATCTACTTGAAATCGATTGAAAAACGATAATATAATTTATTTTTCATTATTTCTCTCAGAAGTTTTATCCTTTAATGTTGCAATAATGTTCTTCCAATATTAAATTATTCCGCGATCGCCATTATTCTTGTTTGCCCTATAGCAATTGTGGCTGAAACGACATTTGAATAGTAGGGAGAAGCTGTATTATAGGTAGGACTATAATTCTAAGAGGGCAAAAAATATATCGTTAACTGTAATTATTCTTAAGCTCATTCAAATGGAGACATAACTAAACACTTGACTTAGTAACGTAAATCTATTTAAGAATAGACAAATCTTTTTAAATATATTTTAGATCACATATAATACATTGCGCATAAATATAAATCAAGAGATTTATATTACCTTTAATGTAGATTTTTCGAAATAAATTTTTTTCCTCTTTTACAGAGATGTCAATATAATGATCTGCGATAATCTCTCACATATGTGAATACACAAATCAATAAGCAGTATGTATTATAATTATCGGTTGTCGATTATTTTTAAAGCACTATATATATATATAGTTTTAAAAATATGTATGGTATATATGAATATAGTATATTCTGGCTGCTATTATGTTATATATAGGCGATAATTTTATAAATACAAAATATATTTAATGTTATTTTACTGTAAAAGTGTCTTGGATCACTCAAAATATACACATTCATATAAAATATCACCGATAAGTATTTTCAATATTACAGAACGTATTTCCGTCTGCGTTGACGAGATCACCGATATATTTGCGTTACATTTATCTTAAATGTGATCCAGTTATTGATCTCTAGGTTGCCGCAACTCGACGTTGCTGAATAAATAAAGAATAAAATAAATAAATACCAGACAGACAACACACACACACATACACACACACTTTTTTAATTTTATACGCTCTAATTTCTTTCGAATACTCACGATTATTTCAGAATAGATTATTATCCATTCACGCTGTGATTCATTAACAATAAGATGCAATGCAAATATTGATTTTAACATTTTATGTATCTTCTAAGAAAAAATAGTTCATATTAGAAAAAATAAATTATTCTATTATGAAAATGACTTTATGTGCTCGTTGCTATTAGTTACATTTATTGCTCGATGCGTATACGAATCAATCTTTCAGTTCTGAGAATAATAAAACCAATCACATTTATTATATTAAATATGTATGTATAGTATTTCCTGTTATATTCACATTAAATTCTCATTAGAGGTTGATCGACCTTTGCCATTTAAATATTTATGCTTTTCACATTAATACACTTCGTTATTTGATATCTTAAAGTACAATTTATATATTAACAAAAATAATCATTACAATTAAATTTTACAAATCAGGTAAAATTTAAAAAAATATATTAATTGTACACAGAGAGAATTTTCTCTGAGAATTTACCCTGAAAATCATGGTAATCGTGGGACAATATGGTATTGGAAGAATTTTATAAGTTTCTCTGATTAATATTTACTACAATAAAAATATTAATATCTACCACAATAAAATATGTTCGATTAATTTTACTATGTATACAGTAAAAATTAATTAATATTTTTATTGTGATAAATATTATATTAATCAGAAAATACCTTCCAAAATTCTTCCAATACCATGTTGTCCCACGATTACCATAATATTTTCAGAGTAAATTTTAAGAGAAAATTCCTCGGAAAATTCTCTCCGTATATTAATGATAAATTTCGCAAAACACAGTGCCAAATATATTTCATAGAAAATACTTAAGTTCAGATTATATTTGATATATTTTTAAACATAAAGTGATTAATTATACCTGCATTACACAAGATAATTCTCAATTATAAATTTATAGAAGTTTTCCAATAAAAAAAATAAAAATAAAAATCAAGGACAAAATTGCTTCATGATTTCAGGTATCTCCAGATACCCTAAAGAATGACTCAGGTCAGTAAGGGAAAACTGTCGACTACTATCCGGAATGGGACAAAAGGCAACCACGAAGTCGAGCCGGTTGCACCAACATCGGTTAGCCTTTAATCTCTCTTCTGTATCTTTATTACAGCTACGATTGTATGATGCAGAGGATCGTGTGTAATGGGGGGAAGATATCGCTGGCCGATTGAATAGCCAATCAAAGCTTGATATAGTTGATCAACCCCATGGGTCGCTTGTACAGACATTAGACCTGCTCTTTTCAGTCATATTTTTTTAATTCAGTTCTGGTTCTCTCATGTGAATATATGTCTGTTTTATTTCGAAAAAAGACGGAAAGTATTTTTTAAAAAGTATTCCAATGATGTACGTTAAATAGAATCTTTTAATTTTAAATCTGTTCTTTTAGAATCCATTTTAAAGATGTTCTTTACATTTCTTTTAAAAAAAAATGTTTCCCATTATTTTCGTAATGTCTCTATTTTTAGAAATTTATCGACGACTTTTTTCAATACAAATTTGATTAATCATTTTTTCTCACTACTTTAATATTAATTAAATATATGTTTATAAGAAAAAGTTACAAAAATTAATTTCTATCTTTCAAATATATTCTAAAATATATTTAAAACTTTAAACAAAGAAAAAGAAAATTGTATCATGTATTTTTATTTCTGCAATTTTCATATTTTCATAAATTTTACAATTGTATCAAATTTAAAAAATTAAAAAGTATGTATGTGTCGAAGACATATATTTATTATATTTATGAGATCAAAAATGACAATGCAATAAAGAATAGAGAGGGCATGATATTACTGAGTGACAAGATACATAAGATTTATATATATATTTATATATTAAAAATTTTTCGTAACAGTCACTAAAAAATGTTTTCTTTAGCATTACTCCAAAATTCAAAACCTATCCGGAGTTCATTCCTTATAACAGCTGTTTAGAAAAATAAATTTATACTTAATAATAACAATCAATTTTTTTTCTTGAATACACCATAACTTGATCAAATTTTTTTTTCTCTTCATTATATGTAGGATTATAATTGTTAATGTTGAGTGATTCGCGAATACGCTAAATCATTAACTGATTGATTTTATCAAAATCTTTTTCTATCAATATGTTTAAAAATTATGATTAAGTGTATATATATATAAAATCATGAAATAAATGTGTATATATAATAAGTGAGGTTATGACGTAAGGAGTCATGATAAAAATATATTTTTAAAAATCAAATCTTTTTATATATCTCTTTTTCCCCATTTTCTTCCTTCTCTTTCTAAATATCATAATCATATACTCCTGTCATTGCACAAATAAAATACAGAGATATAAGAATTAAAAATAACTAAATAAGACAAACCTTTAGTAAGGAACAAAGGAAAAAGTGAGCAATCAGGATAACGGCTAGAGATTAGAGGCTAATCAGCGATCAGGTCGATTCCCTCTAACGGGAAAGTCGACGATTTGTAAAAAAAATTGAACGAGTTACGCGAGTCGCAAGTACCGCCCTAAAGGATAAAACGGTGCAACTAACCTTCACACGGAGTATCCGTCACCGTGGCGTAGATGATACCCTGGGGAAGCAATCACATGATGCACAACTAACAACGGACGCACAACACGCTCGTGGTACCGTCACCGGGTTGAATCCGTCGACAAGAAGACATCGGTCGGGACGCGCGATTCGTATCGGCCTTGGCACGAAGGTGACAGAAGGGAACGTACAGGACGATCCTTCGCGAGTGGCCAGGGCGCTCTTCTCTCTCTCGTGCTCCCCTCCTCGTCCTCTCTCTCTCTCTCTCTTTCTCCCTTTCCTTCTCGCTCCCACCTTCTGGACGAGGTGTTTCGACGAGATGCACAAAAGCGTAATGAAGCGATTCTCGCGAAACGCGACACTCGGCTAAGCGATCAACGCTTGACGTTTGACGTTTCGTGAAATGGGTTCGCCGACACCGCGATACGCCCGCGCGTCGTCCTCGTCTCCTCGTCGTCCTTGTCGTCGACGTCGTCTCTCCGGCAGCGGCGGAGCGGCGCAACGCGAGGCAGGTTAACAATGGCGGAGTACGATGTGCGCACCGAGGAGAGGGAGAGACTTAGTTCGGGGAGACTGCCGCCAGATGTCGCGACGTGGCGGAAAGCGTACGTCGCGTCGGCCGCGCTCGGCTCGAGTCGGCTCGGGCTCTTCCGTTTCGCGCCTTAGTCGGCTTCCGGTTGTGCACCGGAACGGATGTGTTTGAGTGTGTGTGGTGTTAATTTTGCTCGGAATTATTATTTTTCTTTATTCTTTTGCTAATTGCCGATTTTTTAAGAAACTGAAAAGCTTGTATAATTTGATTAAAATTGTATCTCTTTATTATCATCTCTCATTTATGACCAACGCGCTCCTATCCGTGTTCTTAATATCAACCCGAACAAAGACTTATCATGCTTGATTCTTCGTTATGTATACGCACCTTTTCTGTCACTTAAAATAACGAAGAATGTTTTTCCATTAGTTTTCAAAGATTAAAATGTTTGTTTTACTCGTCTTATCAAAGTTTCAGTGCTCCAAAACAACTATAACTGATAATTATTCTCTGATTGTTCCATTTAAATGATTTTAAATAATAAAACTGTGTTTTTTAAATGAATACGAAAATTACTCAATTTCTTTCATTTTAATTTATCATTTTATATCTGCTATACTTATTAAATTGATCAAAATTACGGGTACAATTTTAATAATTACTCACTGAAATTATCTAAATTTATATATTTTTAGATATTACAATTATCCCCCTCTTTCCCTCAAATTATTTTATTATTCTATTACATGAAAAAATATAATCTTTTAATTTCCTCTTTAATTACCTTAAGTTTATTTACCTTAATTAATTTTCTTTTTGATTAACTCAAATCAATTTAGTTTCAAGCTTCACAAATTTAATTCAATACAGTTTTACATATTCAACGTTTATCTAATAATAGATTTTATAACGAGAAACAACGTTCAATATCAAACAAATTCAAAGGAACTCTAAAGTTCTCCAAGTACCGACGTGTCTGATCGAATATTTCTCTGTCTATCATCTGACCTCGAGAGGACGGTAGTGGAAAAGATAGGCTTCGAATACGAGTTCATGAAACGTGTTTGCGTCGATAAAATATGTGTTCCAATATTAATGGTATGTACGAAATTTTACATTTACGATTCTCTCAAATTTTATTATATACAAATTGCGTAGCACAGCGCGAACGTATTTATGCGTGTTTATATTTTATGTGCGAAGATTATATAAAATTGAAAATAAAAAGAAACAAGGTATTGCTTTTGTAAAAAAAAAGAGGTAAAATAATTTTACCGGATAATAATTGTAAAATAAAATAAATTAGATATCTGTTGAATGAAAAATTGGTGGAAAATTTCAATCGATTTTGTTGTACAAATTATATAAAAAATTAAAAATAAAAAGAACCGAGGATATCGCTTTCGTAAAACAATTTGTAAAATTTTACCGGATAATAATTGTAAAATAAAATAAATTAGATATCTATTGAATGAAAAATCGATGAAAAATTTCAGTCGACTTTGTTGTAAATACATTACAAATAAAGTAGAAAATGCAAACTAGAAAACACGTATATGGCGTATGTTTCATTTTTATGCAATATTATTATAAAATAATCATATTTGAATATATATAATCTTACTTGCACGCTCTAGTTTTGTAAATTCCTGACTCAGCTATGAGTATCCGTCCTTTTTAGCTGCCCTTGCTTGCACATTCAGCATTCAAAGCAAACTGAGCATATACGCTCAGCTACTGAACATGGAAGAAAAACGCGAGAGAAAGATTTTAAAAAAATATACCGTAGAAAGTAAAAAAAAAAAAAGATATCCATAATTCACCATTTACACGGTCAGAATTCTATTGTATTTGTAACCTGACAATGTAAAATACTATCGACCATAGGGCAATTTCCCGAAACCTCTTAAGTCGGGACTAAGTTATTGGAAGAATATTCAAAAATAACGGGATCGAACGCAGGAGAAAGAGGAGCGATGCAATAAAAAAAGTCGTACAATAGAAAGTGGCGCCGAAAAAAAAGACTCGGATATTCTTGAAGAATATCGAAGGACATGAGAGCACCACGTGCACGAGGTAGGCTATATGGCATCACAGGAACGCGCCGGATTCCGACGTGATCGATAACGGGGGGCGTGTATCGACGAAATATTTCACTCTCGTTGGATTCGCGCCGACCACCGAAGGATGCTTCACGCGCATGCACGGCCGGAGCCGGACGTGTGCATATGTGCGCGATGACAGATCGAACGAAACGCAGTCGCCGCCGAAAGTGTGTTTCGGAGAGCGCGCGGTTAATCTCCGTTTACATATGGCAACGAATCGTCTCGCAGTGTAATTCACACACACACACACACACACACACACACACACACACACACACACACACACATATATATATATATATATATATATATATATATATATATATATATATATACACGAATATCTCTCTTTTTATCCCGCATTATATTATTGTTTTTTTTTCCTCGTTTGTTCAATATTTGCGATCAATGTTCGAGGTATAAGCGCATGCCTACGTGTTATTGTATATAATTTTTCTATCCGTATATTGTATAATAATTAAAGTTTGAATTATTCGAATTGTTGAAGGTTTTTTTATATTTTGCATCCAGTAATATTCCTATTAATTATATCGTTTTGTTGTGTAAAATGTGTTTTAAATTTTTATCATTATGCGGACTTTAGATAAAGTGAGGAGTGAAGCAAACAGGTCGTGTATCTTACAGTTAAATGGTATATGTATAATCCAAATTTTGTAACTAATTTGTACTAATTTAAAATGATATTTAAACAAATGCACAAGTTCAATTAAATGTTATTCAGAGTGAGTTAATTTTTTTTAAATTTAATGATTTATTTTTCAAGTTCAATGATTTATTTTTTTGATTTAGCAATTACGATTAAAATATTCTTTATTAGATATACATATGTCGAATGTGTGCAAAATATATATAAATGTACATTATTAATAGTTTAATATGACATATGTTATATATCGTTATATATAAGTTCATGATCGTTACTTTTTAAATTTTATCTACCTACATTTAAATAAAGCATATAATTACTATTGCAAAAAGACATTCAAACTTTTAACATATAATCTTTCAGCACATTTAACTTGTAATCAATTGTTAATATAATTATGAAATACAGAAATATATCGAATATATCGAGACTAATATTCAAGAAACTAAATAATACATTTTTTTAAATATTATTGTGTATAATAAAAAATAAACTGTGGAATTTATATAAATATTTCTCTTGGCGTTTGAATGTTTTGCGCGACTTTGAAAACAATTTATTTTTCTCACTTTATCTCTTTTATTTCTAACTAAATTTTAAAACTACATTAAAATTAGCACGAGGACATTTAACTTGTAATCAATTGTTAATATAATTACGAAATATATCAGTATATCAATATATCGAATATATCAAGAACAATATTTAAGAAATTAAATACTACAATTTTTTAAATATTATTGTGCATTAAAGAATAAACAGGAATTTATATAAATATTTCTCCTGATGTTTAAATTGAGAGTAGGTTAATCGCATCCTTTTTATCAATTGGGAACGTTATCGAGGCCACGAGGACATTCTCTGCGCAGGTGCTCGACACGGCATGCGAGACCTTTCGATCGTTCTCTCTCAGTTAAAAGGTGTTTGTCATCCCCATGCCCTAATGTAGATCGTAATCGTCGTCTCGGCGACAAACTAATCGAATCGATCTTCATTTAAAAAAAGTGAGAAAAAAGGCAGAAAGCCCGCGTGTGTCCTTAGTACGCAGGATTAAATCGACCGATGAATCATTGAAATATTGGAAGGCGGACGAGTTTAATTGTTTTATTATCGATTATGACATATACTTGGGTCGAAAACTTTTCCGTTTTTTTTTTTACAAGAAAGTAAATTATTTGATACTTGACCGAGAAAGATAAAATGGGGTTAAGCTAATTAAATCAACTAGCGTGTTACAAATTAGTGTTCTACTTATTAGGATTGGCACCAAGGATTTCTTCTTTTCTATTTGATGACGAGAATGAAAATTAGCGGCTAAAGGCACGCGAGATTCCTTCGGTTTAAACCTTACATCGGGAAACTCGCTAATTTGCTAATCTAACGAAACATTTTTGCGCGACTTTGAAAACAACTTATTTTTATCTCCTTTTTTCAACTAAATTCTAAAAATACATTAAAATTAGCACGAAAAAATATTTAAAAAATTATATATGTATAATTATATATAATTATATATGTATAATTATATATAATTATATATAATTGAGTAAAGATATACTCGTAATATATATACCGAGTCATATTTATTTTTAAAATATCTTATACTATTTATATATTATATAAGATAATATTTTAAAAATGAATATTGCTGGGTAGAAATATATTAACGAGTATATTTACTCATATTGTTATTATTGTATTTTTTTATAAAATATTATGGAAAATATATTATTTAAATATCGCTCATATCTAACACTACGTCTCTATATTTAGTGATTAATATCACTTTTTAATTCAAATGATAAAAATGTAATTAAACAAGAGAGACATTTTCTTCCATGCTCATCTTTTGCTACTTCAAAGAACCTGTTATATTTTTCTTGTATCTTTAACCTTTCTAAAACGGTTCTAACATTAAAACGTCTCTATATTTAGTGATTAATATCACTTTTTAATTCAAATGATAAAACTGTAATAAAACAAGAGAGACATTTTCTTCCATGCTCGTCTTTTACTACTTCAAAGAACTTGTTATATTTTTCTTGTATCTTTAGCCTTTCTAAATCGGTTCTAACTTTAAAACGTAGTAAAAGATAAAAATAAAACAACGCCATCGTACGTAGATACATTATTAATTAAAGGTGTTACGAAGTTTTGTCATTAAGGTTTATCTCAAGCCTTGCGCGTGTTAAATATTAAGCGCGCGGCGGAGAATCAATGTCATCTATGCACATATACATGCACGCGGTTATAACGCGGATGACGTTTTTCTTGTATGTCGACAGATATCGATGAGAATGTTGAACATGATACAAAAGTCGGATAACGAAAACGTCGCCGTCGACGACGTCGGCCTCTGCACGCACGCGAGTTTGATCGACCGCGAGTTGTTCGCCACGGCCTTGATGCATTAGACGACCGTGGATGCATCGGACGCAATCAGAATGTCATTCTTCGGGCGGAAAATGGGTGGCAGGAGCAGTGGAAGCTCCGAGCACACCGGTCATAACTTACAGGACGGTCTGTTTCAAATTGCGTCGCAAGCTTGCCATATCCTGGTGCAAGTAAGTTGCGACCAAGAAAAATCTTTGCGATATTATTATTTTAATATCGACATTTTTATAAACACAACAGATAAATAAATTATTGTTGCAAATAGCAATCAAAATACAATTCAAAATAATATTGAGAATAAGACATGAAAAAATGATATGAAGAACAGCATCGATAATAAGTGTTGACTTTGTTGCTGATGCTGAGTTTCATTGTCAAATATATAGTCTATTGTTAAATAAAATAAAATGGTGATCATAGTCAAATCATTTTATACACGAGAAAAAATAGAGATAATCATTAGACATAAAGAAATCATTTGAGATATAGAAACAACATCTGTATATTTATATTCTAGAATCGCATGGCATGTGTTACCTCTTCATGTTGTAATTCATGAAACGTGTAATAGAAACGTTTGAAATTGATGCGGATACGACGACGTGTACTGTAATCTTAATAAACATCTCGCGAACATCTCATTAATCATGTATACTTTTGTTCTTCCAGCAGCGGATTTTTTTTTTCAGCATGTAGAATAAATTAATTAATCATTTGCATGTACATACGATGATACACATGGATGTATCTTTTGTTAGAAATTAGAATCATCAGGATATATTTTGCATTTCTTCATTCATATTTGCGAGAAACACAAATAAATTTGAAATCAATTCACAGCAAAAAACCAAATGTAACTGATATTTGTATATTTCTCTATATTTCACTTTAGAAACTTATGTGCATATTATTATAAATTAAATTGAAAATTTGCTAAATCTTATACATACAAATTTATTAATAATAAATATATCTACTTGAAATTATCTGGAAAACAGAATTTTGTTACGTATTTGTAGCTTCAAAATTTAATTTATATAAAAAATAATTCTCAAAATAAATAACATTAGCTTCAACCTTTTGTATATTTTATATTATAAATAATTATCAATTTCAAATCAATTTTTTCTGTTAAGGTAAATAACACGCACAATGTGTCTTATGGAGGTAGCAATAATGTGAATAATATCGCGTATTCGAAATATACTACGGCTGGCGGCCCAACCGCCCCGACAACGTCGTCATCAACAAAAGGGACAACCGCTGACAAAACTTACCCAAAGTATGCAGAGCCTAGGAATAAAGACCAAGATGTGGTTGTATTGTTACCAAATCGTAAGAACAGGGCACCACGACTTAAGCACAAATTGTCGGTGAGTCCTCTCATACTCCTAGAATCAGATATAAAATTTATGTGATGATGATCTATTGTATGTACGTAAAGAATTCAGAAAGAAGTAAATAATTTATAAAGCGATTTCACGCGATAACACGCGATTTCATACTTTAAGTAGATTTTATTGATCTACTCCAATATTGTACTGACAAATATTTTTCTTATTCTCTATTTGCCTTTATAAAACTAACTTTGCTTTACAATAAAAAACTTTTTGACGATTAAATGATGCCTAAGAAAATAATTTTTTTCTTTACGTATCTATAATATGTCAGTGGAAATCTTATTATGTACTTATTATTCGAAAGGAATAAAGGAATAATATATATTTAAATAATACTGCGAAATGTTTGCAAAAATATAAAATGAAATAAATTTACATACATTATTACGAGACAATATTTTTTCTCTTTAAAAAATGTAAAATGTAATGATCTCATTGAATAAAAATCTTTTTGTTTATTCTCGACATTTTCTTGTCATGTTGTTGGAAAAAAAATTCCGATTAATTTTGCATCGAGTTCATTCTTTCCTTATGAATCACGAGCGGATCGATTATCATAACATGCGTTCTCGCAAATGACAAAGTCCGTGCGCTCCTTATCATATTAACGAGATAAAATCCAATATCATGTGTTTAGTTGAAGTGATTTAAAAACAGCGATGAAAGATAACAAAGCGAATTTCCTGTTTATGTTATAATAAGAATTCTCAAATCGCTTAAATTATGTAACAATGTTGCACTCGTGATATATGCATCCTGTTTTAGACCGTGTCCGAAAATGCACGGCTAGATGTAAACTCTCCGGGCGGTGACGATGACTTTGAGTTATGGGACCAGTCTGGATTTATGTTAAGGAGCGATGTGGACGATCCTCTTACAAATGCAAAGTACGTATCACATTTTTTATTGCACATTTAAAGAAACAGAGCAGCTTAAATTATACTCGCACAATCTATAACGGTTCTTAAAAGATAATATTTTTCAATTAAACACTTTTATATAACCTCCTTTAATTAAGAGAATAATATTAATTATTGAATGAATAAATTATTATTTTCCAAGCACACGTACATACAAAGTTTATTACTTTTATTATTATTTTGTATGTAATTCTCCTCTCTCTCTCTCTCTCTCTCTCTCTCTCTCTCTCTCTCCTCTCTCTTTTTTTTTACAAAATAAAACAGAATAAGTATTAGAGAACTAGTGAAATTGACACTTGAAATTTTAAAGCTCAATGTGCATAAAAAAATGTTATCGCGATAATCGCATGTAATGAACTTATTATAATTCCTGTCAAGATGGGGAGCGCAGAGTTGGTGCAGACCCAGTTGCATACCGATAACGATCATATTGATTTTGATCGTCCTGGTTGTACTTTTGCCATTGTTGGACCACGCGGCAGACAAGAACATGTTAAATGCCACGGCATTGGATTCGGAATCTACGTGCATGGATCATTGCAATATATCCTTAGTAGAAACTATACCCATAGGCTTAAATTACAGTAATAATACGGCGCGACAGGAGACCATCTATGATTCATGGATGGATCTGATCGAAATGGCACAGAACACCATTGAAATCGCATCGCTTTACTGGACAATGAGGAAGGAAGATGTGTCTCCTTTCGATGATAGTGCTAAAAAGGTAAGTAACGTGTAATATCACAGTATGAGATATAAACAATTGCAATCTATTGATCTTCGCTCGATTAATAAATGCGACTCGTCATAGGGAGAACAAGTGTTCCAGGCGCTCTTAGAAGCTGGAAAAGATAGACAGATTACGTTAAAATTGCACAGAATCTTCCTTCTCACTTGTCCCCGAATATCGATACACAAATCTTGGCAAGAAAAGCTAACGCAATGGTAATTTTTTAAACATATTTTGATAGCATAGATGTGTCGCTCGTGAAATAAAAACAATATTATACTATTTTTATTTCAGTTATTTATAGTACAGTTTATATACATAATAATAAAAGTTGTCACTCTGCGTATACCATATATAGATAAAAGGCAATTTTATTATTCATTCGTTAAAATTTGATCGACACAGTTTAGTTTTACTTTTTCTTCTTTTGTTTTTTGCTTCGTATAAATGCCAATTTTTATTCAGGTAAGAGACTTAAATTTTGCTGGATTGTTGGGCGGCGGAGTACTTCATACAAAATTGTGGCTTATCGATCGTACTCACGTGTACGTTGGTTCAGCAAATATGGATTGGAGATCTCTCTCGCAAGTAAAGGAACTCGGTTTGGTGGCGCTAAATTGTTCCTGCTTAGCAAACGATTATGCTAAAATATTTGATGTAAGGATTATTTTATGAAAGCAATACGCATCATTTACTGTATTGAAAATCATTTAATATAACATCGATTTTTTTTTACTTTATAGGTATATTGGAAATTAGGAGAAGACGGTAAAGTACCTTCCACATGGCCAGATTCTCTCAGCACAAAAATAAATATAGATAATCCTATGAATTTTACATACATGGAAAATAAGTACAAAATGTTTATCGCGGTTAGTATTATTCGATATTAATAAATGCGTTACGATACGCGCAGTGCAATTATTTTTTTATTAAAATTAATTATAAAAAAATATGATATTGAACACATTGCAGAGCTCACCTCCGCCATTCTCGCCGAAAGGCAGAAGCAACGATCTAGACGCGATTTTGCACTGTATTGCTAAAGCGGAAAAGTTTATTTATATCTCTGTGATGGATTATTTTCCATTAACAATATATACTGCACAAGTGAAGTATGTATAAAGATAAAAAATATATGTTTGTGCATGTATGTATGCATGCGTGAACTTACACATATATAAAATACGATAAAATAAATTATAATTTAAATTATCATATAATGGCTAAAATGTGTAGAATACCTTTAAAATGTGTGTTTATTAATATATCGTGAATGTTTTGCAAGTATTGTTATATACTTTCTTTCTCTTCGTATGATGTAGCATTATCTTTTATTTCGTTTCTTTTATCAATAATAACTTCATATTTATTTGACAGATATTGGCCTATAATAGACAATGCTTTGAGAGCGGCAGCAATCGAGCGTAAAATAAACGTGCGTCTCTTGATTTCCTGGTGGAAACACTCAAGAAAGTCGGAATCGTATTTTCTTAAATCATTGGAAGAACTGACAAACTCCTACACCAATGTCAAAGTCGAAGTAGTAAGTCGAAGTAGTATTATATATATTCTCTACATGTGCGTATAGTTATAAATATGATCGTCAATCACTGTCATTTGTTGAATCTTTGCAGAAAAGATTTATCGTACCAACTAACTCGTCCTTAGACAGAATACCGTTCGCAAGAGTGAATCACAATAAGTATATGGTCACCGATATAGCGGCTTACATAGGAACGAGTAATTGGTCGGGTGATTACTTTATTGACACAGCCGGTAAGTTAATGCAAATATGTCTCTTTTGCAAAAATAAAATGACACAAATTAGAGTAATAATAAAATTGTACATGCTTATGTTGTTTTTTATGAATTTACATAAGAGCAATTTTTTCTAAAAAAAAAAAATATTTTAACATAAATATTCGAATTCAGGTATCGGTACCGTATTCGAAAGCGTTGGACGTCAAAATAGGGACAATATAAGACAACAGCTGGAAAATATCTTCCACCGCGATTGGTATTCCAACTATTCTTTCCCGCTACTTTCCAACTATAATATAAGTGAGACGCGTTCCGAAAACTCATGGGGTTTATCGAGAAATTCATATCAGCGTTCGTCATATGAACATTATTTGCATGCATAATTATAATATCTACTCGCCTTAATCATGATTTTTAATCGTGACAAATTTTATCATATCAATTTATAAAAAGAGAATTTATTTCTTATTTGTGATTTATATAGAATTTATTTGATTTCTCAACAGAAACAAACAAATTCATTCATTTTTCTTTATTGCGTTTTTGACTTATATATGCGTTCTTTCTCTGTTATTTTTAATAATTCTTATATTTTTTAAATTTTCATGAAACTTATGATTGTGTGCAGAAGGTGAATCATTGTAATATCTGGAATTCATTGTATATGTTACTGTCTATTTATGGCTTATGGGATTTTATATGTTGTGTATACACGTGACATAACGCTTGAAACCTTTTAGTAATGAGATTTTAAGAAATTCAATTAAATTATGTAATATTCTAGCATTAAAAGAGGCTGTTACAATGGTAAGTTAGCTTACATTTAAAAATATATAAATTAATATTACTTTTTTTATATATACAATTTTTGAAAGAATTATTATCATAATCGTGAATTTTAACTTGCAATTAATAAATTCAGTCAAAAACAATACTGACAATGAGTGAACATAAAACTTATACACTATACACTTGTATACTTTAATATAAATTTAATATGTAATCTTCTTATATATGTGCTAGTATATAATTAAGTTGTTTTTTCGATCTTTCGTCTCTCTTTAAAAAATCCGCTTTCTAAATCTATCTTTTTATTTTTTTTAATTTTTGCCGAAAGCGTGCCGATTAAAATGATAAACCGTAACAGTTCTTCCTTCATATTGATCTCTCTATCTCGTGATCGTACTATCTATATTTGCAAGTATGTACATTTATGTGCCTAACAAGCATACCTATATCATTTAACGAAAAGGATAAAACGTGCCTTATAAAAATTATTTTGATAGGTACGGTAAAATATTAATCTACGTTCGAGAAATGCATCGATTCTGCGTTCTTCCATGTAAACCGTGATCTCCTTAGAATTCATCTTTGATTGTTACTTATGTTGTGCCTGTTTAATAGTATATACAAAAATGGAATCCTGATTATGAACGATATTTTGTTATATTTAACATGTAAAAAAATAAAACGTTCTGGAATGATTCATAGCTTGATAAAAAGACTATTATAAAGACGCTTATACGAGACATTGATAAGATTAAGATTAATTAATACTATAATTAAAATATAAACTCCACATTTTCAAATAATTATTACTATTTAACTGATAATTTTTGTCACCTGAAATTTTGTGGCTATTAGTATATCGTTGAATACTATTGCAATTGCGTAGTATAAAGTACAATAAAATTTAAATTATGATCTTTTGCAAAAACGCGTCAATTTTTGTGCACAATTATGGCTACAGGCCTCATATAAACTGAGAACTATTAGGCAAAAAATGATAATTATTTCAATTTAAGTTTTGTTAAAGTACTTAATTATACGCGCAATTGTGTGTTGGGTAAAATAGATCAATTTTTGTGCACAATTATGGTTACAGACCTCATAAACTGAGAACTATTAGGCAAAAAATGATAATTATTTCAATTTAAGTTTTGTTAAAGTATTTAATTATACGCGCAATTGCGTGTAGTGGGTAAAATAGATTACAAGATCAATAGTTATAAAAAAAAAAAATTTACAAAATTATCAGTTAAAGAAGGATAATTATTTGAAAGTGCGCAGTTTATATCAAATAATTGGAATACGTTTTAAAATGCTAGCAATTTTTTGAAAAATTATCTTTGTTATGCATATTATTTAAAATTACACAATATTCGAAGTAAAAAAAATATATACAGAAAAATTTTGTAACTTAATACAGCCTTATCTTGTTACACAAAAAAAAACACTCAAAAAAATGAATAAATTAATATCGTCTTTATTTAAAATATCTCAATATTCAGTATTCAAATAATAATGGTTAAAGTATTAGTAAAATGCTGGTTTCGTTAAATGAAGAGAGAATATTAAATAACAAGCGATATACCGCAAAACTATTAAATACATTGTTGACAAAAAATGTCAGTATTATGACAATCTGCGATCTATATTTTATGATCTGTTGATGTAATAAAAAACAGAAAAAGTGTAGGTATAAAATCGATATAAGACTTATATACTTTTAAAATAAAAAATTATATTGTGAATTATCTTATAATTTTATTTTAATAATTCATCGATTTCTAATGGAAAAATATACGGTATTAAAACTAGTGCTCAGTTATGTAAATATTGCCTATAATCTCTTTAAGTCTACTACCTTACGTATTATCAATTGCAAACAACGATAATTAAAACATTGTTTTTTTTAAATGTATCGTGATATATTGCGAATCTAGAGAATACACACATATATATTATATAAAAATTTCTCCGCCATATTTGTGTGCCTTGTTTTAATAAGTGCCCTTATAATTGTACAAAACGCGAAAAAATATATTTTAGTGGCTTGATCTCAATGCTATAAATAGATAGAAAATAAAAATCCAACACAGAAAAAACAGTATCCTTGAGAAAATGCAAATATGCCTTGATTCAAGTATATTTTATCCTTATAATAGCGCCAAATATAAATAATTTTGGATAAAGGATAATTTATCCTTAAAACAAAGTGCAAAATATTCTTGGTTGAAGCTAAAATTTACTTATAAATATTGCAAGGACAAGTGACAACTGAGCATGACATAAGCAGTACTTTCAAGTATATATAATAATTCTTAGTTCAAACGTGACTAAGTTTGTTTTTATCATATGCGATTTTTAAAACCAGAATATATCTGAAGGATAAAATATACTTTACACAATCTTATTTATTATTAAGGCAAATGAAAATTTGTGATTACAAAGAGCATTCTATGCTTAAATCAATCAAATAGTGTTCAAGAATAAAAATATACTTAAATCAAGGATTCCTTTTTTTCTGTAAATATATAAAATCTTTTGCGCCAAGGTTTTATAAAAAAAAAATGTTACATAAATGCATATTACAAATGTTACATATGCATCTTACAATTATGGCGTAATTACTAATCGATTTATTATCACAGAAAAACAGTATTCTTGAAAGAATGCAAATATGCCTTGATCAAGTATATTTTATCCTTAAGGATAGCGTTCAAGAATAAAAATATACTTGAATCAAGGATTCCTTTTTTTCTGTGATCTTATAATTAAAAGAAACGTTATATATATATATATATTATATATATATATATGTATATATATATATATATATATATATATATATATATATATATATATATATATATATGGTATATAAATCGAATTTTAAAAATAAACTAATAAAAATTTAATGTCTTATATGAAAAAAGACAAAATTATCCGAAATTATCCTTCATATCATATCGTCATGAAAATCATTATTATTATTAGGCATCTCTAAGTTATTATCAGCATAATTCAGTTAACAAGCATATTTTAATATCAAATAATGTTATTTCTACGTCAAATAATGTGCATTTGTTACATGGGAAAGCATCATATAAGAAATATCAGAGTCGGATCTATATATATGTTTTGTCATCCGAGGCAATATTAGTAATTGGTGTCTCGTTTCTCTACATACGCACGCACACACACACACGTTAAAATAATATGTTTTCTACTTAAATTGCTATATAAGTTGATGCTAATATCATTTTTGCATTTTTCTAAAAAAAATTTGTTTCTAAAAATTGATCATTTTACATCTCCTCATAATCTTTCGCTCAAAGCGAGTGCACTATCCTAGATTCGGCTCTGAGAAATATAATTACCGTTTATAATTTATACTGTTTATATTTACTAATTGTCTTTTATATTTTATGCAAAATTAAAATACAAAAATTCAGATAAGAAATAGGTTAATGAGAATCAAGCGCAGAAAGTAGGCACAGCAAACTCTTTTCTTGAAATCTTCTTTATTTAACTTGAATATTACGACTCCTCCTTTAAACCATCTGTCAAATGTTTTGCTAAAAATCCAAAAGAAGAATCGAAATATTAAAATTAAATTAAGATTTTATTTTTTTAACTAAAGATTTTAAGAAAAGTTTACAGTGCCTACTTTCTGTACTCTTAATTATTAGTCAATTTTCTATCTGAATTTTGTATTTATCCTTTTCTATTTCGTTATTTGCAAAATTAAAATGTAGAATTTTCATACATGCAACTTTTTAAAATTTTACGCTTTAATATATTTTACTCGTCTAGGTTCTCTATATACTTAATTGTAATTATACTTCTTATTTCAGTTGGTTGCTGCAAAAATGTAAGGTGATTGCGAGTATTCTTTGTATAAGTTATTATGTATAAATTCGTTTTGTATAGATTTGTGTTGTATATAATGATTTAAAGAAATTTACAATTATATAACCATCACATACAAAAATTACACAATTATTTTTGATATTTAAAAATCAATTTCAAACACATCATAGAATTCCTTATATGTTATTTGTGGTTCTACCTACATTTTTTGCTCTGTTACGTTCTACCTTTGCAATATCTTTCGAAAGAGACGGTATCAGACCCAGATAATTGGGACCGCAGTTAGGTTACCTGCGACTGACAATTCTTCAACTTCCAAGTGTGCGGAGATGCTCTTACCTGCTCGTGAACGGGACTCTAGTCCCCTCTACAATATCGTTTTTTATCTGGGTGACCGCTATTAATCGGTCAAAATTTTCAGCAAACCGGTATCGTACCAGTAGTATAACTTTATTCTGCTTGTAGAAGAAATCTCATCTCATCTGCATTGATAATTTGTGTATGGTTTTCATCGAATTTATCCTCTACAAACCGGAATTTGAATCCAGGATTATTTCCCGAAACTTGAACCGGAATTATTTCCAAAATTAAAATTGCCTAACTTCCGTACTATAATATAATCATGCGGAATGGTATACATAAATATAGAATCTCTTATCGTTGCGTTGAGAAATAAATTGTATTTTAAAGCTAAATTGGTTTTTAACCATCTAAAACTTACACCAACAATATTTCACACATTAGTCTTAAATGCGGAAGATTTTAATGACATTAATTTAACGTTTTTTTTTTATAATACACAGCAAAGTGATTTAACTTTGTATCGAACCAAGAATAATTTTTTGTCTCTAAATAGAAACAATGAACTTTTTACATAATATTCTAGTGTAAAAATTATTCAGACATATCTATTTTGGGATGCTTATATTTATATGTAGTATTCTAGTGTAAAAATTATTCAGACATATCTATTTTGAGATGCTTATATTTATATGTAATATTCTCTGCTATATTATATATATATATATATATATATATATATATATATGTTTCTTTTTATAAATTCTGAAAAACAGTAAAATCTTCTTCGACCTCGGGCTATTATTACAAGATTAATGATTTATCGAAGAAGTTTCGTGTGCATATCCGTTCTCAGTTCTCCAAGACATCATTTATCTTTAGGATATATGTTTTTTTAATTCATCCTTTAGTCATTTGCGGGAACGCTATAAAGTGGTGGAACCGGAGGAAGAGCACAGAAGAAGGGATACAGTGCTCGATCAGGAAGGGATACGAAGAAGTAGGTGTGGGAAAAGTGGGACCACACTACGGGGCTCAACCAGAGTGACAAAATACGGACTGTTTTACTCGCGAAAAGTCGACGAAGCAGAAAAGAGGATCGATAGATCTACGCGCGCGAGGAGAAAGTTATTACATACATACCTGCCCGGTGTGTTCACGTCTACCTTACTACCTGACTATCTACCTACTTGCCTGAACCAGCGCGATCGTCTTGGCTGTCTGCCTATATCTGTTTACCCGTTGCTGTTATCCGGGAATTCCCCTTGTTAATCATCTGTCAGTCATTGTATAAGGTTAGTGGAAGATTAACGTCACTAATTAATATGCAAAACACATCCGTGGTGCTACATAGTATCTGCGGTGAATTCGCGACGCGCGTCTTTTTTCTCTATAGTTGTAAATTATCACTCGTTGCTCTATCATGTTGTCTCGGCCGAGTTGTTCTCTAGTCGACTTCTACTCGCGAGAGACATAGTGGAACGTTTCTTCCGATAGCTACGTAAGTAAATTTCGTTAAAATGCATATTTTTAATAGATATTTTGTAATTAAATCTTATTCTTTTTTTATTAAAATTTTTTTATAAGCTATGACATTTGAAAATTAAATTTCACGGAAATAAATGTATCGCATATTATAGTTTAATTGCTGGATCTACTTTTTATTGAAATCCGCTTTTAAATTTAATAATTATATCAAGATGAAGTTATCTAGTAGTAATAGACTGTGATATGTGAAAAAATAATATTTTATCCGTAAATTTCGCTTTTATGTTTTTATTTAAATATTCCATATGCCAATCTATTGTTTCGTATAATTTAATTATTATTTTTACTTAAATCTGATGCATTCTAAGCATCAACTAAAAATTAAGTCGAGAAGAAATGAATATAAATGTCACTCTTTTTTCTTTTTATGATTTTTTTATTTTTCGTTTATGTTATTTTAATTACTTTTTTTTAATTTTAATAGAGATACTATAAAATCAGTGTAATTATGTATCTGAGAGATAGCACATTTTGTTTCTGTCTTTCTAGTAAAACCAGTGATTGCTGATATTGATTAATTTTAACTTCACTATTAATATTAAAAGAAATTATTAAAAAAGACAGTAAGTTGTAATATATATTTAGCTACATATATATATATATATATTTATATATATGTATATGTGTGTGTATACATATTCACAGAAAAAAAGGAATTCTTGATTCAATATTTTTATTCTTAAACGCTATTTGATTGATTTAAGCATAGAATGCTCTTTGTAATCACAAATTTTCATTTGCCTTAATAATAAATAAGTTTGTGTAAAGTATATTTTATCCTTAAGATATATTCTTGTTTTAAAAATAGCATATGGTAAAAACAAACTTGTTAGTCACATTTGAACTAAGAATTATTATATATACTTGAAAGTACTGCTTATATCATGCTCAGTTGTCACTTGTCCTTGCAATATTTATAAGTAAATTTCAGCTTCAACCAAGAATATTTTGCACTTTGTTTTAAGGATAAATTATCCTTTATCCAAAATTATTTATATTTGGCGCTATTATAAGGATAAAATATACTTGAATCAAGGTATATTTGCATTCTTTCAAGGATAAAATATACTTTACACAAACTCATTTATTATTAAAGCAAATGAAAATTTGTGATTACAAAGAGCATTCTACGCTTAAATTAATCAAATAGCGTTCAAAAATAAAAATATATTTGAATCAAGGATTTCTTTTTTTCTGTGATGATAAACGCAAATTAACATATATTTGCATTGTTCGTCGTCGAACTAACTCATTCTAGTTTTATAACTTTTAGTTTATAGATATTACTCAAAGATGATGAGAATAATTATATTATAAAATATTAATGTAATTCTCATTCTCTTTTCCTCTGTGTTTCTTTCCCTCCCTCTCTCTCTCTCTCTCTCTCTCTCTTATATTTTAATATAACTGCAATTAATATATTTAACATTTTAATAACTTTCTTGATTTTCACGATTTAAATCGTAAATTAAACACATAAACTTACACTAATCAAATCACAATAAATCACTATCGCAATATTGATAATGTTTGACTCTACAGAGCCACGCATATAATAATAAGAATTTGTAACTGTTTTTTTTTTATTTGATATATCGCTCGTAAAACAATTAATATCACTTTTCGCGTAACAAGAATGACTCGTGGCGGTTCCGGTTGCTCGAGCGCTGAACAGTAGTTTGAATCGAAAATTAAGCGGTACATTTAGTAACTAATATGGAAACGATAAGTAAGTTGATGATAAGTGCGCATCGAAACAGCACAATTATGAAAACTAACATGATATGTTTTATACACGTGGATTACAATCCAAAATTCAATAATTTCTATAATTTAATCTTACATTTATATTCATCTTCCTATTTTTATCACTATATAATTATTAAATTCGCAATTTTAATCATTTTACTTTTTATTTTACGTATGTTATATTTTGTTATAAGCAAATAAAAACTTATTTGCTTCTAAAAAATAGAATATATATTGTATATATATATATATATATGTATGTATAAAATTCGTATGTCAATATTAAATTGATCAATATTAAAGCAGTCTTCTTGACTTGATTTGATTTTAATAACTATAATGACTTATGTTAAATGTAAAATGTCCTACATTCAAAAGAAGTTATTTGTTACGATTGCTTAATATTGCATCGTTATGCTTTATTTGTGCATACCTCTTTTGCGTTAATCAATTTAAACACAATTTAAAGGAAAGGAATAAATTCTCCATTCTATTATATTGACGACATAATAAACAATTTTAATGAAAAACGTCCAAAGCTTAAATAATTGTTAAGATTATTAATATTGAAAATTGACAATTTATGCAAAACAATAGCTTTCCGTTAAAAATTTTTATTCTATAAATTTATAAACAAAATTAAAGACATCTTATATAGAATTTATAGGAAGAATAAATGATATAATTATAAATAACATATTGGTAACTAAAACTACATATTAATAATAGAAAACAAATAAAAAAATAATGGTATGCAGTTATAAGAAAGAACATGAGATATGATCATATTTGTCATCATACTATTTGCAATTTTTATTTGTTTCGAAAGTAACTTTCAATTTTAGTTTGTATAAAAATATAATTTTAAATTTAGTTTTTATGAAAAAAAAATATATTTTTTAAAGAAAAATCATCTCTCGTATATTTTAAACAGTTGAATCGATATACTTTGCGATATAAAAATCTAATAATCTAATAATAGCACCTCTAATTTGAAAAACATATTCGACATGTTTATATGATGTCTCTTTCTCTTTTTTTTTTTCACGTAACAAGAAATTGCTCAGTTTCCATGATTTGCATAAGAAAATATCCAAGACGATTGCTTCTATTATATGATAGTTACAGATATTCATCGCTATTATACTAATTGTGCTATATATCTTATCTTTCAAATTTTATATCATTCATGATTATTGATAATGAATCTTGAGCCTTGGTTAAACCGGTTGTTAAAGTCAAGATTAACTATAAACTACACAGAAAAAAAGGAATCCTTGATTCAAGTATATTTTTATTCTCGAACGCTATTTGATTGATTTAAGCATAGAATGCTCTTTGTAATCACAAATTTTCATTTGCCTTAATAATAAATAAGTTTGTGTAAAGTATATTTTATCCTTAAGATATATTCTTGTTTTAAAAATCGTATATGGTAAAAACAAACTTACAACATTGTTAGTCACATTTGAACTAAGAATTATTATATTTATTTGAAAGTACCGCTTATATCCGATGCACACTTGTCACTTGTCCTTGCAATATTTATAAGTAAATTTCAGCTTCAACCAAGAATATTTTGCACTTTGTTTTAAGGATAAATTATCCTTTATCCAAAATTATTTATATTTGGTGCTATTATAAGGATAAAATATACTTGAATCAAGGCATATTTGCATTCTCTCAAGGATAATCTAATAATCCTTTTTTTCTGTGTATAATTAAATCATACTTAAATGCAAATTGATCAGTCTCTTTATAAAATATTGTTTTCTTGAGATTAATTAATTTTTTTGTTAAATTATCTTATTAGGCGCCGTAACCAGATTAAAAATTACATTTTAAACTAGATAAAATTGATTCTATTTGTTTCAATTAATAATGCATCAAAAAGAAAATCGATCATCTCTGCTATTCTCTAGTTCCATTCATATATTAAATTCAATAATAGGTCTGTTTGTTTTGACTACACTGGCTACACTAGTTCAGAAGTTGTATTTTTTACTCGATATTAAAAGGAAAAAGAAAAGATATTGAAAGAAAAAAGACAAAAATATGTTTAAATCATCAAAGTATCAAAATCTTGAATTAAATGTCAATTGTTTGTGTGAAAGCTATAACATTTTTACGTAAGATCTATAGCTATAGAAAACGCAAAGTTTCTTTTCAAGGTACATATAATTTGCAACTTCAGATTTTAATTTATTTTCTCGCTTGTGAATTATAGAAAAAAACTTTAAATCTCAAAATAATTTACGCTGCGGTTTTTTTTTAATATTCCGTCTTTTTCATGTTAACCTGTATCAGATGTTATTCTATATAATCCCCTGTGACTCAGAATAATGTAAAAATAAACGCAACGTTTAAGGAGTTAGCACGCAATAACTTTTTACTCGGTTATACTTTCACATACTTTCTCGATCTTCTCACTAAGTACACGTAGTTCTGGTTTTTATCAATTTTCATTAAACAAAATTATTCATACCACTCAGCTATTCAAGAAATCACGTACAACATTAAGTTCAAATATGTGACAGTAGTGCACGGAGAAAAATGGAACGCACCGTTAAGGTGCCGACAAACATTTACAGCATCCGTATTTCGTACCGTTATATCGTCGGTGAGACTTATGATAAAGCACGAATTTTACGGACTTTCATTTTTTTCGGAACATGCTAAAGAATTGTTAAAGTATGAGTAATACTTTTATTCAGAAACTGATATTAATAAATTTACTTCAATTCCTTTTTGCAAAGAATTTAGCCTAATTTTCTAACTGTAATAAAATTTTTAAAAATTTAAACAAAAAATATTTATTTCTCGAAGTTTTAACTTTAACACTGACTCTTACATCTTTTTCTGACTTTCTAACCAATTTACATATTAAAAATACAATCTGTTTTATAAAAACAAATCTATTTGCAAATGTTTTTCTCTCAGTTTTTATATGTGCATTATTGACTACTAATTATAAACAGTTCAAATAATTATTTATAAA